TATGTCTGTATGTATGCATGTTTGTAATGTCTATTCAGTGTTTTTCTGGATAGAAACCAAACATTGCCCTAAATAAACTCCTGAACCATCCCACTAACAATTAACACCTGCTTTGCTAATATAGTTGAGTTTGTTAATTTACTAACAATTAACATCTGGCATGCTTCTCATTGATTATTTAGGAAAATTTCTTTTGTCATCTGCTGAAAATTTTTGTGTGAACTCAGAGCATTTCTGTTTAGGTGGCCATACTAGATGAATTTTATATAAATTCTATTATAGTCAGTCTGCTTTCTTTTATATTTCAATTTTGAGAAGCAAATAAAATTTCATTTCGTATGTATGTATGTGTGTGTGTGTGTGCTTGCACGTGTGTTTATGTATATGTATGTGTTTATGTTTTGTATAATATTTGTATGTGTGTGTGTGTGTGTGTGTGTGCGTGAGTTACAAAATGAAAGTAAAATATTGTGATTAATAAATTCATTTCATCATCTCAACATTGTAACTCATTGAAACATGCAAACAAACAAACACATACGAACACACACACATACATATATTACATACATACATTAATTATATCACATACACACATACATACATACAAACAAACTAACACATCCAAACAAGCAAGCCTAACAGCACACATAAAAAGATATATACAATACAAACACACAACGCAAGCAACACAACACAAACAACACACACACACACAACACAAACAACAAACACACACACACACAGACACACACACAATCAACACACACACACACAAACCCCACCTTAGCAACTGCCCCTCTACTGCCCTCATCATCACCTCGACCATCATCACCATCATCATCACCATAACTATCACCACTGGACCCCACGACACGTGACCGATCTTTAGCGCTGAACTTGTACTTGCCCATGCAGCACTTGTTGAAACTCCACGTCGTTGCCAGGCGTTCGTTGCTATGCACACACAGCAAGCCGTCCCAATCACTTTGGCGGGAAATTTCTGGCAAAGAATTAAGAATCAATCGCTATTTTTTTTTTCTTTCTTTCTTAAAACGTCATTTTCTATTCTTTGTTATTTGAATGTAGAGTGCTTTTAGAGTATATTGTTATTATATTGTAATATTATTTGGATATAGGGTGCTTATAGAATATATTATCTTTTTATTGTTGTATGTGTGTATGTATGTAATGTATGTATGTAATGTTGTATGTGTGTATGTATGTATGTATGTATGTAATGTATGTATGTATGTATGTATGTATGTATGTATGTATGTATGTATGTATGTATGTATGTATGGTTATCTATATTAATATATAGTTATCATATTATAATATTATTTGTATACAGAGTGATTGTTGTTTTTTGTTTCCTTTAAACGTCACCTTCATTCCATCTTCATTTGAATGGGGATTCCATTTATTTAAATTTATCGTGCTTATAACTTGAGGGTCTCAACAAAGACCAGCTATCAGAGCCAGTTACAGTTAGGCAATTAATAAAATCGTTATACAGAAATTTATGGCTGGCGATTTTCGGATCTACATGTAAAATATTATTTTTCCCACTAATCAGCACATCCCTGGACCCCCACTCCCCAAAATCGCATCTCTACTTTTTTTCCCCCAGACTTACGAACACGGCGCAATGTTGTAACGGTTAAGGTGCCTGGTACTACTGCTGCATCTACCAGGTTCGACAGCAAGAAGACGACCGCCCGTCACACATGCAATGAATGCGATGTATTATTTTTGTACGATGTATCACGATGTATCATTTTGTTTCAAGCGTTCTTACCATGCAATGTATGTTTCTGATGTATCATTTTTGCACGATGTATCACGTTTCAAGCTTATTCCCAACTACAGAGTCTGTTTGTTCTTGCTGGCGCATGTAAGAAGAGGAACTGAAGAAAGAGTTGAGAATTGCAAAGACGAAAGAAGGAAAAAACCTGAGACAAAATCGACGATTGGCGGCATGACTAGAGTGTCCTGCTTGAGATTCACTTTCTTCGAGAGTCGTTTGTTGTACGAGGCCCGGCCCAAGCTCCTGTTGTAGCTGTCGTGGACTGTCGAGAAGTTACGTAAGGTGCTGTCCAGGCCTGTTGGCCGTGAATATGTTAATGAGGTGGCCGTGAATATGTTGATGAGGTGGCCGTAAATATGTTAATGAAGTGGCCGTGAATATGTTGACGAGGTGGTCGTGAATATGTTGACGAGGTGGCCGTGAATATGTTGACGAGGTGGTCGTGAATATGTTGATGAGGTGGTCGTGAATATGTTAATTATGTTAATGAGGTGGCCGTGAATATGTTAATTATGTTAATGAGGTAGCCGTGAATATGTTGGGTTGATGAGGCGGTCGTGAATATGTTGATGAAGTGGTCGTGAATATGTTGATGAGGTAGTCGTGAATATGTTAATGAAGTGGTGGTGAAAATTATTTAGATGGCTACATATGTTAACGAGGCAAAGATGATGAATATTAATGAGATAAGGCAAGAATTAGTAAAAAATTCATGAGAGAATGATGGTGATGATCATGAACGATAAAATGACGCCAAATATAATGAATATTAATGAGATGCTAATAAAGATGGATAAATAAAAATAGCTAGCAGAGAAAAAAAAACTGACCAGCACTTAAAATAACATTTCCGGAAGTTCCGTGAAATCTAATTTTAACCGGCGGCTTCGAATGGCCACTCCTCTGACTGAGCAACCTAGCTCCGCCCTCAGTTTCATCAAAAATCCACATCTTGAGGCAATTATCATTTGACGACGTGAGCATTGTGGGCGTGGTTTCGATACAGTGGAGGCCTGTGATCGGTCCGTCATGGGCCTCGTTTACTTGGGTTATTAATTTCTTCTTTTTGAGATTCCAAATCCCAATGTGGCCCATCTCACTCCCGACGACCATGATGTAGTCGACATCTGGACGATGGTGATGACGATGAAGATGATGATGAAGACGATGAAGATGATAATGGTAAAGGCTATAATAATAATTATAATATAAAACCTCTATTTTCAAATTTACAACAAAACTACATACACAGCAAAAAGATACTACTACTATCATTACTACAACAACTACTACTACTACCACTACTAATATCATTACTACAACTACTACTACCACTACTACTACTATCATTACTACAACTACTACTACTACTACCACCCCTACTACTGCTACTACTACTAACACGTACCACTTCTGAAGGAAATACTAGTAACTGGCCCCCAGTCTTGCTTGAAGACCATGAGGCTTTCGTCAAATTTCAAATCGTGTAGAATGATCCGACCGTCCTTCAGGCCGACTGCCACCACGTTCACCGCCTGGGACTGGAATTTTTTAATTTTAAAAGTGAATTTAGTAAGTTAGTGCGACTGAATTTTTTGAAAAAAGTGAATTTAATAAAGTTAGTGTTGCTGACGGTGGTGAATTGTATGGGGTCATTCAGTGGTAGTAAATTTAGTGGGGTTAGTGTTAGTAAATTTAGTGGGACACGGCGAAAGTTTCCACAAAATTAAATTAAAGTCTCTAAATTAGCGATTTTCTAGTAAAATTATTACTATTAACAAAATAATAATAAATAAAAATAATTAGAAATAATTAAAATGACGATGATGACGACGACAATAATGATAGCAACGACAAAAGAAAAATGTGTAAAGAGATGTAAAAAGAATCCTGCACCCACCTGCTTAATGGCAGTAACAGGGGAAGCCCATCCCTGGTACGAATAAATTACTTGATTCTGCGACAGGTTCACTAATCGCATCGTCCCTTGTCGACTGCCCATCAGAACCTTGTTAACGTACTCCAGAGGGTGTTCTATGCAAGTAACGTCGAATGTATCGCCGTCGAAGTACATTTCAGAATATAATTCTGTTCATCGCATGGGTGGGCGGAGTTAAGTTTGAATTAAAATAATAATAAAAATAATAATAATATACAAACAATTACAGAGAAAAATGAAAAAATATTTTTTCAAAAAAACCTCCATCTTCGACCGTCCATACTTTCAGATTGTTGGTCTCATCGATGGATATGAGGTGATCGGCAAATGGTAGGATTAACTTGACGTCATCCTTATGACCTTTCAATATTTTCCAGACCTAAAAAATTGAATAAAAAATTTCTCAAAAATCTCTTTCCATAATAAAATATAAATATTACTAATTGGAATAATTAAATGTCAATAAATAAATGAACGAATAATAATATAATTATAACAGTAATAATTAAAAATATTTTCATAATAATAATTAAAAATAATTTCATGATAATAATTATTATCCTCTTGACTCTACCTTTCTCCATTGAAAGAATATGTAGATGTCATTTTTACAGGCCGCATATACAAACTTGCTGTCAGTTTTTAGGCATGTTATCGAGTTCGGGAGAGAGTCGCCTAATTTATTTTTGTTATATATTATTTCATAACCATTTTAAAATTAGATCATAAAACTGAAAAATAATTTCAAATAAGTTTATTAATTAATAATTCAATAGTTTTTATTCAACTTTTAATACAAAAATATTTTAATATTGAACTTGATAAACAAAAAAATAAATATATATAATAAATAAACTTTATTTATTAAAAAATCTAATTAAAGTTAAAATAAAAATAAAGAAAACTAACTTATGTTTACAATGGCGAGCTTTTTAACCTGAAAAATTTATCCAGATGTAAATAAATATTAAATTAATTTAAAATAAAATTAACAAAATTGAACGGCCATCCCAGTACGTATCGGCAACTTCACTAACGTTGTACGTGTGGAAGGCTCGGCCAACGCACGTAACTACGTACGGTTCCTTTTTTCGTCTGTAAATCCCAACACTAATAGGAATCTCATTAACTACAAACCCGATCGCTTTATAACTCGCAAATAAATGATTTTTATTCATATTTTTTAAATGAAAAATTGTCCGGAATGCGATTAAAAGCTTTCGAATAAACCGAAGCCCAGTATCATCCAATAAACATGTGCTTTGAACGTTAGTTAACTTTGAAACGTTTACACACAAAAAAAACTCTAATTTTAAAATTTTTATATTTGTTTATTATAAGTGTTTGTATATTTTAAATACAAAACAACTATTTAAAAGATGTTTATAAAATATAATTTAAAAGAAAAATTGAATTATAAAACTTGAAAAGTAAAGTCTGGAAAATGATTTAACGTTACGTTACGTCTTAAAGTCTCATCCCAGGACGACCATATTCAATTCTTGTCGTCCGTGACGGCTTTTTCTTTTCTTTTTTTGTTAAAACCAAAATGTCAGAAGAAAGTTTAGAAAATTTTTTCAAGTTTGAATCATCGAGAAGTAATTTTTTTCTGGAAAGAACTAGAACTGTGATGTCAAGTAACTCGTCTGCAAAACTGCCTGATTTCAAATCGTTCCTTACGATTCCATCATTGTCGCTATCGTCTCAGTCCCAGCCGTTTGTCAAAAAATCGTTCAACTATAATTTGATTCCTAACACTAATTTCGTATTGAAAGATGAAAATCTTTTTCGGTCCCAGGGACCGCACAAGATCATCATGAGCGCGGACGTTAATTTCGAAAATTACACTACCGACAACAAGCCAGTCACTACTAATTTTAGCACCAACATCAACAGTCTGATTCCTAACTTTGAAGATTTAAGTGATGACGGCCATTCAAAAGAGAGATGTGACGTTAAAGCAGTCTGCTGCAATCTTGCCCACCCAGTCATCCACAATTATAGCACTATGATTGGATCAGATTGTATTGGTAGTGCTAATGATCATCATTGTGAATCTACCAATGTTACTAGTTTAGAATTAGATATTTCTGATAAGATTGGTTTCAGTATTAGTAATAATGATATAGTATCATATGTTAGCAATAATGATAATAATGATCAACTACTAAACATTAATAATATTATGAATAATGATATTAAAAGTGATAATAACAAAGGCTACGATGGAGAGAGGGAAGGTAGTAATAGTAATAGTTATAATAATAATAATAATAATGACGATGATGATGATGATGATGATAAACATAATGAAAGTACAAATGACAATGATAAAATAAATAGTATTAGTAATGATGTCAAAGTTGAAAATTGTTTTAAAGAGGATGATGATGACAATGATTCATCAGATAATAATAATAATAATGGTGATGATGATGATAACTATGGCCCTGTCAGTAGCTACACAAATATTAATTATAATGGTAATAATGAAAATTATGGTGATAATAATATTAATTATAATGATAATGTTGAAAATTATGGTGATAATTATATTAATTATAATGGTAATAATAATGAAAATTCTGGTGATAATAGTATTAATTATAACGATAATAAAAATGAAAATTATGGTGATAATAATATTAATTATAACAATAAGGATAGAAATTATGGTGATAATATTTTTAATTATGATGATAATAAAAGTACAAATTATAGAGATAATAATATTAATTATAATGATAATAATAATGATCATGAAACCAGTGATGGTGATAACAGACTGAATTATTTAAGTTTGTTAATTGATAATATGATTGATAAAATGGATGTCATTCATGGTAATGATGAAGATAATAATAATATTAATAATGATAATAATAATGATGAAGATAATAATAATATTAATAATAATGATAATAATAATGATGATGATAATAATAATATTAATAATAATGATAATAATAATGATGATGATAATAATAATAACGACATTAACAATATTAAAAGCAGTAGTGACGATGTTGATGATAAGAATAATGATGGTGATGGTAATGGTGAAGACTTTTGTCGTGATTGTGATGA